CCGGGCCCCCTGGGGCCCCCGGGCCTCCCGGGTCTGTAATAAAATCTCACCGTATGCCCTTTACATCGGAGTGTGTCTCGAGTCTGTCCGTTTGGGCTAAGTTGGGAGGATTTCTCAGACCCAACAGCAACAACCTCAAACTCTTGGGCTTAAGTGATCCCCTGGCCTCAGCCTTCTGAGTATCTGGGACTACAGGTGCCTACCACAATGCCCAGCTAGTTTTTCTATTTTTGGTAGAGATGAGGTCTTGCTCTTGCTCAGGCTGGTTTCAAAGTCCTGAGCTCTAGCAATTCACTCCCCTTGGCCACCCAAAGTGCTGGGATTACAAGTGTGAGCCACTGTTTCAGGCCCACAGATTAATCTTTATATTCAGTACATTCCCAGTTAAAATACCAGCAGGCTGTCTTGACAAACTAACTGTAAATTGACAAGCTAGCTCTAAAATTTATATAAAAATCAAAGGATATAGAATGGTAAAATAATCTTGAAAAACAATGGCAAAGGTCAATGATTTTTACTACTGGATTTCAAGCTTCGGTAATTAAGACTTAATTGTTGTTGACTTAAATACAGACACATAGTCAAATGGAACAGAATGGAGAATCTGACCCCACCTCCCCAGATACAATAAAGACACCAAAGCAACTCAATGGGGAAAGGAAAGTTCTTTTAAGAAATATTGCTGGAACAACCGGATATCCATATGGAAAAAAAAAAGATCTATGACCTCTACTCTATGCACAAAAGTGATTCAAAATGTGTCATAGAATCATAAAAGCTAAAATTACAAAGTTTCTAAAACAATTAAAATGTCTTTCATGACCTGAAATAAACAAAGATTTTATGGAGAGGATACAAAAACTATAACCATAAAAAGAAAAAAATTGATAGTTTACCTTTCATCAAAATTAAAAACTGCCCATGAAAGGCCTCATTAATAAAATGAAAAGGCAAACTACAGGCTGGGAGACAATATTTGTAAAATGCATATCTGACAAAAAAAATTGTACCCACAATATGAAAAGTACTCCTATGTATCAAAAATAAAAAGACAAACAATTCTAATTTTTTCAGGTGACAAAAGACTTGAACAAACACTTTACAGAAGAAGCTATCTGAATGCTCCAATAGGCATATGAAAAATTGCCTAGCACAAAGAGAAACTAAAACCATAATAAAGTCTCATTTCATTCCCACTGGGAAGGCAAAAGTTAAAAGACTGACAGTACTAATTGTGCTGGAGGATGTGGGGCAATGATTGCAGAATTATCATGTAAATTAGGAGGCAAGAGTAAAATGGTGCAACTACTTTGGAAAGTAGTTTGGCAATTTCTTATATAGTTAAATCTCTATCTGCCTGAGAGTCCAGGGATACTGTCGGTATGGTAGCTACAGCCAAGGATAAGTAGGACATTCAGAAATGAACTTTGGTTAGGTCCTGCACATTTAGCATTCTATTATTTTAGTCACAATTTTTATTCTAATAACCCAGTGGTTAGATTGTCTTACAGGGGTGTCCAACCTTTTTTCTTTTCTGCCATGCACTAGAAGAAGAGTTGTCTTGGGCTATACATGAAATGCTGATGACCAAAAAAAAAAAAAAGAAAAAAGTGTGTGCATGCTTTTTGCAATATCCAACACCAACGTAAACGAAACAGTCCTCAAATAATCAGGATACATCCCGCGGGCTGCAGATTGGACACCCTGATAGACTGTGGTAAGAGTGTCAGTCAACTTACATGTATTTCCAGGAAAGATGGGAGAGGAGGAATATTCCCATTAAGACAGAAAGACACACCTGGGAACTCAGATACACTACCCGGAATACATACTCAACCATTGATGTGCTTTGGGCTGAGTTACCTCCTTCTCTCGAATGAAGTTCTCAAAGAGGACATTGTAGGATTCATTAATTTTCTTCCTTTCTTCTTCTGACTCCAACTCAAACTTTTTCGTCATTTTATTTTCTATGGAGGTGGGAGGAAAGCACATGTATATGTAAGTATGGGAAAAGCATTTGCAGAGAGAAACTCAGAATACCTGAAGACAAAAGCTCAAAGTCAAA